TGACATGTTAAATATAAATATGTGAATGGGAGACTTCTAAATATAACCTAGTAGAGGAAAGGGAGACATTTCCCACTTCTCAGGAATTACCTAAAAACAATAAGAAGAACAAGAAATATAAAGGTTAACTCCACCCTCAATCGCACAAAAAAAATCTTAAAATCCCTAAATTAAAAATATATCTATATCACAAAGATAAAGAATTGACACACAATTGTTAGGAAAACAGAGAGAGTAGCTGCCCACAGCTGAAGATCTGAGAAAAGCCAGTGGAAACACTCTCACAAACAAACAAATCCAAACCAAGCAACAGGAAAACCACAAAGGAATGCCAGACAAAGCAAATGCTGAGGTTTTCCTACTTGCCAGGCACCATTGACTCATGAAACTCCTACTAAGCCGATGGAAAGGACACTTCCTCAGGTGCAAGTCCAAGAAGCTCATGTTGCAGCAGTCAGAACTGGGTGTGTGGTCTGGAGGCAGGTCCCCATAGATCATAAGTCTCAAGAAACTCTGAAGGCAGCATTGAACAAGGAATCAGTCCGGGCCTGCTGGCAGCATTGTGCTGGTGAAGCAAAGAAAGACTGTGAATTGTGAGCCACTTTGTAGCGATCTTTGTTGGTTTGCTGAATTAAATATTAAAATAATTATTTACCCCAACCCTGTGTCATAATGGGAAGTCCTGCCAGCCTAGATATGGTCTTGGCCCCTCCTCCAAGAATCCTTTCTGCAAATGCAGGTCCAGAAGTAGCTTACCTCATTCAGAGATGAGCACTAGTCAGAAAGGAACCATTCCAAAAGCACCAGAAGATACTTTACTTTTGTAAAAACTCAGGGAATAGAAAAAACAAAAAACACTCAACAGAAAAGTCACAATAAAATAACATTATGTTGACTTTGAAATTCAATGAAATAAACATCATGATAAAATCAGAGAACAAAGGGGCAACATAATCTATATATAAAAAACCCTAATATGCAGATAGACCAAACCACAGAACAACAGAGCAACCAGTCGCTATGACATGCGCTGACCACCAGGGGGTGCACGTGGAACATGGCAGGCATTGGCCACAGAAGGATGGTGGAGTAGGTGAGTGGGGGCACCAGACCAAGGCAGGGCTCCATTCGCTGTCATTGGGGCGAGCCTCTGGTTACTGAAAATTCTTTGCTCCCGTAGCCAGCGCTGGAGCCACTGCTCGTACCCACTGCTGGCGCCATCAGTGGGTGCGAGTTGCGGCTGCCAGCCCCAAGCGCCCAAGGGCTTTTCCACCTACCCCTGCTCCTGAGGGGTTATCGAGGCAGCAGCTGCCACTCACATTGCTGACAGTGCCGGCCCTGCTACCACCCACTGCTGGTGCCAGCCCCAATCACTTCGTGCCGTCAGCGGGTGTGAGCGGGGCCAGCGCTGTTAGCATGTGGGAGTTGTGGCGGCGGGAGCAGGGTTGCCTCAGACAGGGGACAGGGGCAGGGGTGTGTGGCCACGGTGGGAGGGGCCCGGGGGCGCGGAGGATGGGCCAAAACCCACCCGTGCCCACCATAGCCTCGCGGCCCACAGTTCCTTTCAAGGTGCATGAATTCATGCACTGAGCCCCTAGTACCATATAATCCAATGTCATTATTTTCACAGATAAAGAACTAGGGTGACTGGATGGCCCAACCAGTGTGACTCAGTGGTTGAGCTGCGACCATGAACCAGGAGGTCATGGTTCAATTCCCAGTCAGGCACATGTTCGAACCCCAGTAAGGGGTGTGCAGGAGGCAGCCAATCAATGATTCCTTCTCATCACTGATGTTTCTATCTCTCTCTCCCTCTCACTTCCTCTCTGAAATCAATAAAAATATATTTTAAAAAATAACGTTTTTGATGAATGTCACAATATGAGTCAGAATCCTTGATAGCTACTTGACAGACATAGGCTAAAATATTATGTTCGCTACCCCTGACACTCATTTATTCCTCCACTCTGGCAAAAACAAAGTAAGTCATGAATACTCTATTTGAAAGTGACAATTTACTTGAATGTATCTGCTAAGAGGACTTAAAAGATATGTTTACAATATAATCATCCCCAAATAGTGACTATGATTTCAGAGGATAGAGAGGAACTCATGAGAATGCTAATTGAACCAATGAATTTTCAGTCAGAACCTAATTTGTAAAGGAAAGAAAAAGAAAATTTGATGGAAAAAAAGACTGGCAAACTGTTAATAATGGGTTTTGGATCCATTAGGGTTCAATATACTCTGCTTTTGTATATGTTTGAAATTTTCCTTTCTCTGAAATCAATTAAAATATTAAATTTAAAAAAGATAGATGTAAGACTAGAAGTGAAAGAAGTAAGAAAAGGAGGGAGGGAGGGAGAGAGGGAGGAAGGCCTTTCAACCCTCAGGTTTCCCCAGCGGCTCGCTGGCGGAGCGTCCACACGGGCAGAATTTCATGCAGGTAGCTGCAGAGTGCGGGGCTTTGCTCCGAGAACACACGCATATGCACGCGCACATGCATGCACACACACACACACACACACACACGCTTTAGGAAAGCACTGCCAGGTGCTCCTCCTGCACCCACGTCACAGGAGCCGAGCGCACGCATCCCGTGTGCCCAGGGAGCCGCTGCTGATGGAGACACAGTTCACGTACAATCTCTTTAACTGATAAACTGAGAGGGGCCTTTCCACCGAGAGCCTGTGAGCGACCCGGCGGCCCACACTGCCAACAGCTACTAATTGAAACATCTGGCCAGGCGGGTGCACGCGTGGCTGGGACACGGGGGTGTCTGGGCTGGGCTCCCCTGGACATGGGGGAAGGCGCCGACAAAGGGTAAGACTGACATGCGCAGAGTCTGCTGGGGTTTCACAGCCTCGGCACTTTTGACATTGGGGGCCCGACTGCTGCTTTGTTGAGGGGGTTTGTGCAGCGTAGGGTGTCCCGCGGCATCCGGGGCTCTCCTCGCTAGAAGCAGGGCACCCCTCCCCCCCCCCACCCCCCCCCCCCCCCCCCCGCACACACACACACACCAGTTGTGACTTCCCACACTCCGTATGTCCCCTGGGGGGCAAAATCACTCCGAGATGAGAATCGTCAGATGAAATTGGTAAAACATGTCCTCTGCTTCTTACAAATGAGCTTAGAAACCTCATTTGCCCAAAACTTGTCACCGTGTTCCTAAACCTTCTATCACGTGGTTCGAAAAATATAAAAGTATCTGAAGCAATCAAGGACCATGGGTGTGTAAATAAAACATGGATCTTGTCGAACGCTTTTCTCCTTTTTTTCTATGTATGTCGATCACTGTTTGAAATTCCGACATGTCTGGAACACACACCAGCACAGGTTAATAAATAATGCATGGGTTTGGGGTGGTGGGTTTGTTGGTTTTTTGCTAAAATTAAAAAAAAAATTAGCAGTAACCGGTTTGGCTCAAGCCCCAATAGGAGGTATGCAAGAGGCAGCTGATCGATGTTTCTCTCTCATCGATGTTTCTGACTCTCTATCCCTCTCCCTTCCTCTCTGAAAAAATCAATAAAATATTTTTTAAAAAAAATTTAAATGGAGAAAAAGCTATTTACCATTTATGTACCAGGAGATCTGCACAAAAGAGAAGCATTAGAATAAAAAGCCCTCATTTTGACACCAGAATTCATGTTTGCACACAAATTAAAACGACCCCCAAAGCGTAAGTGCACAAGCTTTATTGGGCAACAGCAGCAGGCCACAACGGCAGACAATGAAAGCAGGACCGCTCGGAAACACCCGGGAGCACACGTGTGTCATCACAGGATCGAGAATTTAAAGCATCTGGGAGTTCCTGCCAAATTAAAGTGCACTGAACCTGCTCCCTCATCAAAACCGCGGCCCGTGAGCACCGCAGGGAGGATTACAGAGCACTGATGAGGCCCTCGGGGACCCTCCACGCAGTTACCGACGGCCCCGGCGCAAGAAAGTCAGAAATGAGCCACGAATTCTTCTTGCAAACACCGCACGCCCACCTGCCCCAGCAAACACACCGCCTGGCGACAGGAACAGACCGCACCCCCGCGCTGGGACGGAGACGCCGTCTCCCAGGTGATGCTGCTGTGGCGTCAGGTGCTACGGAGGACTCCCCGTCCTAGGAGCACCCCTCGCTCTGTGCTGTGCTTCCAGTCCCTTCCAAAAGCACGGCGAGCATCCTTCCAGGATGAAAGGGACACAATTAAAGGAACCGTCTCCTAACAGGTATATAGAAATGACCGAAAGCTTTACATCGAAAGGGGAGAGAAGTAAAACCTGTTGTATTTACAAAGCTCACTGTGATTGTTTCTTTTAGTGACTACAAAGCTGGGCATGATGGGATGTTGACCCGAACCAAATCTCTCTTCAAAAACCTGGAGATAACATCATACATCCCCCCACACACATTTCAAACACACACACACAGAGATTAAAAATAACTGATGGGTGTTTGCCTCACGCAGGGTGGACTGGGAGAATGCATAGGTCCCGTTTGAAATTTTGGCAAAGGTTTAAAATGCTGCCCCAGAAAAGGCGTGAGGGCACTGCCATCCCCACCCCAGTTTTTAAAAAAAAGTATGAAAACAAAAGTCTGGCGGAAGAAAAACAGGCATTATGATGTCATTTCCAATGAGCTCAGAACGCAAAGTACATTCCAAAGTTGTCAGAATAACCTACGTTTCCAGCAGAGAAGCTGGGGGGCCGGAAAGCAAATGGTGGCATTTATGGTGACGGCGACAAAAAAGGGGTGCGCTTCAGGGAAGCCAGTCTGGGATCTGGATATAATAATGCCAACAGCGGGCGTTTGAAACCCCAGCTCCTGGCCTCCCAGCTCCAGGTGGCAAGTCCTTTGCCCCCAGCAGCCCGAGTCAGTGCGGCCAGCCTCACCCAGAGCCTCGCCGACCACCACAGGCTCCACACACACACGTGCATGCAGGCTCCCCAAGGTAGTCACCCTGCCGGGCAGGAGAAACCACTCCAATGGCTCGCCTGGCCATTTTCTTAGAGAAAGGGAGGACGAGGTGTGGGGGCAAATAGAAACCATTCTTACCGCCCCCCCACCCCCACCCAACACGCACACACCGTCACCAAAAGATGTAAAAGGAATAATCATAAATAACAAAAGTGCTCGCTCTGGCACAAATACCTAGTGCTGTCCGAGGGCGGAGGGAGTGGTCGTTTCCACCAGAAGGAAGTGTTTAACCTGCTAATTGTGGCCACAGGGCCTCTGGCCTCAGACTCAACTGGCTGTTGGGCCTGGGGTCCCATTGAGTTCCAAGGCAAAGGGACGATCTTTCCAGGTGGATGAACCCCGAAAACAGTCAACAGAAGCCTTGTGGTCAAGGTCAGGAACTTGGGAGTTTCCCTCAAAAGAGCTCTGGTGTTTTGTTTCTTGGTTCCCCCCCAACCACTAAGATGCCCTGGAAGCGCCCAATGGGCATGTTCTCTGCTGGGATTAGTCTGGTGTGTGCAGGTAGGGATCCCCATTCCTAGGCGCCCCCGGAACCCAGCAGGGGCGTGAGCAGGCTGCCCACCCTCGGGTGGCTTACACCGTGGTGGTCTCTACAGGATTTCGTCCCCCTCACCCGACTGCCTCCACAGAGTGTGCCCAAGGGCAGTGGGCAGGACGTGTCTGGTGGCCCTGACGCGCATCCGTCACCCCTCAGGGATGGCTTCTCCAGCACCCTTAGAAGTGTTCTCCCTTCAAGAGGCCAAGCAGTATCTTAAAGGTCAACTCACGCACTTTGCCCAAAACGGCACTTCAGGGGAAGGCCGCAGAAACCATCTCCGTCCTGTGTCTGCTGGGAACACCTGAACGTCCCAGACAAGGAATCCACACGCCCTCCCTGCAGGAGCCCTCACCGGCCTGTGAGCAAGGCCCGGTCCCGGGTTTGCAAGCGCAGAGTAGAAATACTTAAGACGCCCGTCTGACGCCCAACACGGCAGCCAGGTGCAGGCACTCAGAGCACAGCCTCCTCCTCCACCTTCGAAACTGCGTAAAATAGCGCAGTGGACTCAGACCTGTTCGACCTTTCTGAGATTCTAGGCAAAACCCTGTTCTGGAATAGCCATTCCTCCACTGCATTATAGGGGGGCCGAGGCGGGGAGGAGTGGGGGGAGTAGGTTTACAGTTATGAGTATGCAAAACAGTTTATCCTTATATCATCATTTATTAATTATTGCATGATTTTTCCATATGAACAACTGTAAGCCTACTTTTGCCCCACCCTATATATGCTCCCTGTAGATCTCGGTGGGAGGCGGAAATGGCTGGAACAGAGAGGGGAAAATACTGTAAAACTGCAGAATCTTAAGACAGAAGTGCTGTCAATAGCTAATTTCCGAGGGCCTGCAACTTGCTGTCACTTTATAAAGATGTGAAAAGGCAACATGAAGACGTGAGCACAGGAAGGGTGCTGCCAAGGCGAGGCACGCCGGCTCCTCGTGTCCCCGGAGCAGGGGCCCCTCGGGCAGTGGGGTCAGCACCCAGGCCGAGCCTACGTCTCTGAAGCACACACAGAAGCTGTGCCCACGGGTTGAAGGGCATCTACTCACACAGGATTAGCCACCGATCTGAGGCCTTAAACACAGTCCCCTCCTGAAGACCCACCAACGGAACCCTCGCGGCCTGCACACGTGGCCGCTGCAAGAGTGACGGGAACGAGAAGCCACGGCTTTATAAGAAACACCACGCCCAGCTGAAACCGGTTAGGCTCAGTGGATAGAGTGTCGGCCTGCGGACTGAAAGGTCCAGGTTCGATTCCAGTCAAGGGCATGTACCTGGGTTGCAGGCACATCTCCAGTAGGAGGTATGCAGGAGGCAGCTGATGGATGTTTCTCTCTCATCGATGTTTCTAACTCTCTCTCTCTCCCTTCCTCTCTGTAAAAATCAGTAATACATTTTTTTAAAAAAACAAACACCACGCCCGTGCCGCAGCCCGGTGGGTGGCGTCTCGGCCTCTGCCTGCCCTTTGGAAGCCCCCCCCCGACCCCCTGTGAAGGCTGCAGGCCGAGGAGCAGAGCCCAGGCCCATGCCCAGGCCACGGCCGGGCCTCCTCCCATGGGGCTCCCTGCTGGAAGCTGCCACCGAGCGTGGCAACGTGGTAAGAAGCCGCCACCTCTGTCCTTCCGTCCTCCATCATTCCTCCCAACAGGAAACAGACCTCAGTGCGGGGGAAGGGCCCAGTCCTGACCTCCCTGCTCTGGACCAGGGTCCGAGCCATGCAAGCTCCATTGTCTAAAGAATTAGTTGTAGCTCTCTTCACCCTGTTGACATATTAAGGGGCTGTTCGGTGGCACATTTCCTGCGAAAACAACTCCCAGAGGATGTCGCGGGTGTCCTAGATGGCCGCGGGCTTCATGCCTGTTCCCAGGTCCGGACAAAGCAGAGTGGCACCTCTGACACTCCTTTACGAGGGGGCGGGGACGTGACTCCAGTGTGGGTGCTGCGTGAGATGCCTGGGAAACCTGGGTTTGCAGCTCATTCTCCCTCGCCTCTCATTTGCCTTCCTGTGATCCCAGGAAGCCCGGCTTCAATAGCGGAGCGGCCTTAGAGGGGACACCTGGCGTTTCCAAATTGAGTGTCCGGATAACTTTTAACCAAATGCACCATCTTTCCCCCCAACCCTCCACCAAGAGCTTTCTGTTTCTCTAAAACCAGTTTTTAGGAGCAGGAAGGACATGAAGAGTGCACACACGTTAGGATTGTTGAAAAAAACCAACCAACCAAAAGTCCTCTACAATCTCCAACTAGACAGAAACTTTATCACATGACAACGAAATTCAAGTCATAAGGACGCTTGCACAGTGACCCGCGTATAAATCTCTTGGCTGAGCCACCCACGGGGACACATTCACATTCACTCCAGGCAGAACCATGGGGTTCACACAGGCCGCGGGCTCCTTGGGCCTCCCTCCCGTGTACTCGGGCAGGACTCCAGGCAGAGCCTCTTCTCGTCCACACCGCACGTGCAGCCCCTCCTGCAGAGCCCTCGGGCGGTCAGGACGAACGGACTGAACTCTGTCCGGCAGGAGAGCAGGGACCAGACGCCCGCCACCGCGCACACAGCCTACGAGGTGAGCTTGGAGTAGCTGGGCGGGGAGAACCGTCTGCGCAGGTACTTGAGGATGTAGAGGGGCAGGCAGCTGACCAGGGTGATAACAGAGACTTTCCACAGGAAGGACAGAGTGGCGATGAAGTACACATCTGCAAGCAAACGGGAAGACAGCGTGAGTGGGCGGGAATGTTCCAGAAGGCACCTGTGGTCCAGCAACAGCCACCACAGCTACTGCCCGTCACACACACACACACACACACACACACACACACACACACGGCCTCCTGGCGTGCTCCTTCCCTCCACTCCATCTTTCAGGGGCAGACGTGCCAGCAGCTAATAGCCCTTAAGGCTGTCAGCCCGACCTGCCTCGCGCTCCCCTCTCTCTGACCTGCTTCTGTATTCCTGGTCCTCGGTGAACTGCTCTTTTCAACAACTAGGAAACGGAAACTGCAGACGAAAACCAATTCTTACAGGTGTTTTTGATTTGGGCTCTGAAAGTTGGAGTCTTTTAAACACAGCCGCCGGAGAGCAGAAAGCGACCCTCAAACACACGTGCCTGCTTCCCCACCGATTTCCCCTTCGTCTGCGTGATGGGCACAGGAAGCCAGGGGACGGATCTGGGGGTGGCGCAAGGCAGCTGGGCCCCCTGGTCGGACACAGGGTAAGCTCGGGGCTTTGACCTCAGGACAGGCACGCCCTTAGGTGCTAGGGGAGCGACAGCTGCTGGCTTCAACAGTGCACAGAATGGAGGGCACAGTAAACATAGCCCCACTGCCCGAGCACAGGCTGGGGAAAACACAGCTGGCGTTGATTAAGCACCTACTACGTGCCAGCCCTAAGGCCCACTGTATGCTGCTCCAGTCCTATG